CATAAAGTGCTATTGCTGGGAATTCAGAAGTAGATGATTTGCTCAAAGCAGTTATACAGCGGAGAAAAGGAAACATTTCTATGTGGTTTGTGGTTTTTTTATGTTACTTATCATAGAATTGTAGGACTTGAAGGGACCTCGAGAGATCATCTGGTCCAGTCCCCTGCACTCACGGCAGGACTAAGTATTATATAGACCATCCCTGAAAGGTGTTTGTCAAACCTCCTCTTAAAAATCCCCAGTGATGGAGATTCCACAATCTCCCTAGGCAATTTATTCCAGTGGTTAACTATCCTGACAAGAAGTTTTTCCAAATGTCCAATCTAAACTACCCCTGCTGCAATTTAAGCCCATTGCTTCTTGTTTTATCCTCAGAGATTAAGGAGAACAATTTTTCTCCCTCCTCCTTATAATAACCTTATGATCTTCTGTTACTTAACACATCTTGCTCTAGAAGAAGGAAAATGCTCAGTTGACTCCCTTTCCTCACAGATGAATGAATAACACAAATTATTAATAATACTTCAGTGTTATTAAAATATAATAACCAGAGAATCTAAAAGTATAAACATTACAACGAATTATTGACAAAATGGATTGTGTCCTCTTCCTTGCCTGACACTCCACAGTTGCACTCTGTATAAAGCACTTTACTATTAAGATTACTTATATATAAATGACAGCCAGTTACATTTTAGAGTATTTAGCTACCCATGAGTTAGACCCTCTTAGACAAAAATCAGAATAATACATGGCTAAATAACCCATCTCCACCCCCCCAAAAAGGGCAAAATGTGATGGAGTACATGAGTACTTCATTGGCTGAGAACAATAAAGAGGAAACTTAAATTGGTGCAATGGAGACTTGACTAGCTTTTATGCAATTCATATATATTGGTGCAGACCACCTCTTGGTCATTGGTTCTAAGAAAGCCCAGGTCACTAATGACTGAACATCATTACTATTAGTGCAGTTAACTGGTAGACTCAGTTCATTTCCCAGTGGACAGGATTCTGGCAGGGTTATTTCTGGGAGAAGCTTGCATTATCCCTAGCTGTGCTGTTACTTGTTCTATGTATACACAGAGATGATTCCAGTACCTTACTACTTTTATTTATTAAAAATAAACAAACATAAACTTGTTGTGGAGATTTGTAATTAGGCACAATAATAATTCACAAAGACAAATAGCATGTAAAAATGGGGAAAATAGAAACATCATATATGCCACAGGAATAACCACTTGAAATTTTCCTCTGCTTACCTAGGGGTTTTGTTTGTTTCTTAAATCTACTTTAATTAAATGTGCAGGAAGTGAATCTAGATGATCACAAGGGTCCCTTCTAACCTTAAAGTCTCTGATTATATGAGAACTAAATTCCAGAGCCTGTGCCAAGCCTATGTACAGTACACAAGCTTCATAAAGGGCTTCCCCTACAGCGACAAGAGGAAGGATTATCTCCCAATCCCTATAAAGCTTATATCATGGAAGAGAGCTACATTTCTGGTGCCTTATGTATGGTGTGATCCCCTTTGCAGGGAAAATGGATACTGGAGCCACTCCCAATCCCCCTGCATGCTAGGGAACATTGAGCTTTCACCATCTGCTCTGCAGTGGGAATATAGATCCTTACACAGGCACCTTCTACCCATTCCCTTCTTTCCCATGCAACAGAATATCACCAGTTCTGTTGCATCTAGTTGCCCTTTGCAAGTGAGAAGGGAAGGATTTTCTTCTTTGTATAGAAGCAAAGACTGGTGTCAGCTGATATCTAGTTGAAGAATCAAATGTTTTGAGGGGCAAGAAATCATGAGAAAACATACTGATTGGTAACCCATTCTGAGAATGTCTACATTTTTCCCTCCCATTTTTACCACTGACCCATATTGACTTTTCAGAAAAAACTACAAGACGTCTCCATGAAGTTCCGCTTGTTCCAGAAGCCAGCCAATTTTGAGCAGCGTCTACAGGAATGTAAAAGAATTTTAGATGAAGTAAAATTGCAGGTGCCCAAGTTGGAGATGAAGAGCGTAGAGCAGGAGGTAGTGCAGTCACAGTTGGATCATTGCATGGTATGTATGTACAGTCCAGAGATTTTTTTTCCAAAGAATTTCTTGTCTATTCACATGTCGAGTAATTCTGGTTGGGATATATATATATATGATTTTCAAAAATGCCTAAGAGATTTAGGAGCACTGATCCCATTGAAATTCATGGGAATTTGTGACCCTATGTATCTTAAGAATGTTTGAAATACCCACCCCATATGTTTATTTCCTACTTCTCTCTTTCTTGAAAATCAAGGACTCATCACTTTTAAGTTGTCTCGGATATTACACATGTGCCTGAGTCACTCTGCCAGTTTTTGCACTTTTAAAATCACATTTTTCCTATATTTTTAAATGTGTTTCGAACTCTATACAAAAGCAGGGGAAACTGATTATATGGTTGAAATGTTGAAACTGGCTACTAGAGCTGGTTGAAAATCAAACTTTCCATTCTGTGGGAAATTTTTGTATTTTGAATTTGTTTTCATACTAAACTGGGAGAATCATCAATTGATGATTATATGTTCTGTTCATTCCCTTTGAAGCTCCTGACATTAGCCACTGTCGGAAAACGGGATACTGGGCTAGATGGACCTTTGGTATGACCCAGTCTGGCCATTCTTATGTTCTTAAAAAGTTGAAATATCTTTTTTAAAAATCAAAATGGAAAGTTCTGAACAAAAATTGTTTTGGAAATGAAAAAACAGATTGTTTCAAATCTGTTAAACATTAATCCATGTCCCCCTCAGCTGTTGCAATGCCTCATGGGTGTTGCAATTCATGTGACTCATGCCACCAGTCTCCTCTATAGGGTGGCCTCTCTGGCCATGCTACATCTCCTGTGATGCACCAGAGTCGTGGGATTCCGTTGATGAACCATGATGTTTCAACAAAGGAGAGAGCCACAGTGCATCATGGGAGATTTAGTCCCATAAATCATCTAAACTAGAACTCATATGAGACACCACAGCAGCTCAGGTAAGCACACTACCATAAGAATGAAATGGAAATTATAAATTCTGGATTTACAATGTCTCTATTAAACAACTAACTTTTTAGCAGAAGAGTTCTTACAGTTGTGATATACTAGGAAACCTCATATTATTTGGTCTTAATGTCTTTGCTTATATTTTTTACCACATCGCCACCTATGCTGGTGGATCAGCATGAGCTGCAGAACAGCGATCTTCTTTATATACAAAGTTGGCTGCATTTCAGTGATGAAGTTTGTATTTATCTTGCAAGGCACATGAAGATCCATTGGAAAGAATGGGGATATATACAATATATGTATACAATTATATTAATAATATTAATATGTTTTTGAGAAGCAAGTTGTTAATGAACTTCAGATTAAGCTATAGAGAGGATGTGCTGAGTTTCCCTTATCAGGTCTGCAATAGAAAAAGCATCATATCTTTACCTGAACTGTCTACACTTATTGGACATGGATTTTATTACACTACAATATCACAAGATGTACTGGTAATAAAAAAAAAGTCACAAAAATATTTAACACAAGCTCAATCAGCAAGAAAAGAAGAAATACAGTCTAGATTCTTTTAAAAGAAATTCTGTCAAGATATATGAAACATTATTTCAGCACATCACAACAAATTGCGAGAGCATATAATGAAGCTAAAAGAACCTCAACAATAAACTTCTTCAAGAACCTTGCCATTTCAATTCTTCACTTTTTTGTGTTTATTGATTTTCTGTAGTTCTGGGGAGTTTCTCTTTCCCAGTTCAGTGTAAGAAGTTTTTAGTGCATAACAGAATTCAATTTTAATGAAATGAAGGAAACAAAGTTAAACTTACATATTTAAACAGAAAAAAGTTAAGCACTTTGGTTGAATAAGGTTTGTCCCAAATAATTTCTGTGGGTGCCAAGTATTAGATTAGTTATTTTGGATACCAGGTTTTTGACAACCCTGTTATATGTAGATATTGTTGTTGTATCCAGGGAATCAGGGTTTGGGCAGACAAGTAGTGCTATCTCTTTTTTAACTGTCATTCTTTCAAAAGGTGAGGGGGAAAGCATGGTCTATGCACACTGATTGCATGTCATTACTTAAATAAATGTTTGTTTTGTCCACACTTGCTTCTTAGTCATTTGAAACAATTAGAAAAGATAGATGGAGAGATACAATATATTTTTGCTTTAAAAGGCAGTAAATCTCTTTGCTTTTTAGGCCATTAAAAGCAATATTAAACATAGCTAAATGGAAGAGGAAATCTGCGCTAAGGATTTAGTGTATGGGGAACTGTCAGATTTCCACTCAAATTAGGCTTTTAGATTGTGGGTGGTAGAGGACGTGAGCAGGTACAGGGCAGCTGCTATTATTTTAAGTGCGGTATTGTCCAAACCAGCCCAGAGCAGACCTTTGTCTTATGATATTACAAATTCTGGTGGCCACTGGCTTCTTGACCATCTGAGCACTCCCACTATGGCTGCCACTGGTGGGGCAGTAAAACCAGCAATGGCAGAACATTTTAAATGAATAAGTCTAATGTAGACAAGGACATATAATTTGAGTTTTGATTTATAAATAAAGCTCTAACAGTCTTGTAAACACTTGTGCATTATCTGTGTGTGATTTATACGTAACTAGAATACTGCGGATTCTCAATTCCCTTCAGTTTCCATAGGAGTTGAGGGTCGTCAGGTGAGGCTCTTATGCACCAAACAATGCCAAGATTGGTGGTAGTTCTGCATAATCACTTCAGTCCCAAGTTTGCATTGCTTTTATTCATTTATTTTATTAATTGTGGTGTTTCTCTCTCCTGTGTTGATTTGATTAGAAATTGTATAAAAGCTTGAGTGAGGTGAAGTCTGAAGTGGAAACAGTGATAAAAACTGGACGTCAGATTGTTCAGAAACAACAGACAGAGAACCCCAAAGAACTGGATGAAAGACTTACAGCTCTGAAGCTGCAATATAATGAATTGGGCGCTCTGGTATGTACTCTGATTTACAATGCAAAACCAGGCTCTGTTTCTGGCTTTTAAAGCTAAGTACATACTTTGTATTGTCTGATAACTTTTATTGTTTGTTTGTTCCTTTTAAGTCTCTGAAATCAATCCTACCTCTGTTTATAAAAGTGTAATCCTTGTTAGGAAGCCAAAACCAATCAATTAGATAAATATTCAGTTTGGTTCAAGAAAATATGGAAAACCCAGAGACATGTAATACTGATTTTTTATCAGATTTTAAAGTTATTCTTTCCTAAAATTAAACTTACTTTTTGTCTTCCAAAGACTTTTTTTAGATAGATAGGCTATTTACCACTCACCAATTTAAAAGCACTCTAGGTAGGGCTACATCTCTAGATCAGATCACTGGTTCTTCAGTTCTTTCATTCTGTGGATTACATTACAAGAAAGAGAGATCTCCCAGTTCTTATTTGCATAGGTCTCAAAATGTCTCATTTTGCAGGCCACGATGAAAAGGTCAATTGACCAAGATGCTTGTTGCTACTGCAGCATCCCTATGGGGAAATTTTAATACCACTGTAGCTGGCTTCTTGCATGTGCCTATACACACATTTGATGGGTTTTGTGTGGTAACTCTTCCCCTGTACATGCCTCAGGTGGCTGTGCACTGTCTCCAGTTGGAACCCTTGCATGCCTGTTTACATTCTTATGTGCACTGTGGTAGGTACTGATTTTTTTATATGCAAACCACATAGAATGTTGTATTCATGAGCATATGGAATAATTTACACCCGTTTTGCTCCTCATACACCTTCATAGACCTATTTAGGATTTCATACGAAGATCCTCTTTCCTTGCAGAAGGTGCTTCCAAATTTCCTTAGTGTTGGGCAAGAGTAAATCAACAGTATTGGTAGGCTAGGGCTGAAAATGCAATGTCTTGAAAGCTAACGGTGGGAAGCTGTGGTACTGTAGAATAGCTGGCACTGTTATTAGTTTGATCATTTGATTCATATCAACATATAATAAGAGGACTACATTAATATTCTCCCACTATATCTATTCCTCTTCTTTCTGTTTTGCATGGTCTGCTGAAGCAAATTTGATTATCAAAAATTTGCCAGTCTATTTTTATCTGAAAATTCTGATGATAGTTTATTAAATGCAAGTACCTTTAATAAGGCAAACTTTTCCATCTCCATTGCCTTTGCCTTTGTTGCACCAAATTTTTGTAACCTGTTAACTTTCTATCAGTGTACCTGTTCACAGAGCACATGTACCACAATAGTTAAGCACACTGAAACTCACTGAAAACTGCTGACAGCTAAACATCCATTCATTTCTAGAAGGTTCCAATCGAGCAGAAAATACTGATTGGGTTCTGCCCTGTCCAACCACCAAAAAGCTGTTGATTATGACTTGACAATATGCTTTCCTATCCATGGAAAATGTCTTCTGTTGTTCATAGGGGTAGTTTGACTTCTATATTTGGGGGGGGCAGCTCTCGTCAGGCCAATGGGGTTGCGCATATGGGGGAAATAAAAATGCCGTGCTTGCCCACGGGGGTGCCATTTCAGATTGGGGGGTCGGAGGAAAGGGCGCAACTTTAACTTGGATTTCAGGGGCTACTTACGCAACTGAAAACTTTAGTGTTTTTGTAGATAATAACTTAGAAATTATCTGACAGGAGCATGGTATCTAATTCCTATATCAAGAAGAAAATTAAATAAATATTGGACCACCTCAGCAATAATGCCACAAGATGTCAAACATGTTTGTGAGTCACTTATAGGACACTGGTTAGGGTTAAAATTGTAATGTATATTCTTTCTCTCATACTCTTACTAAAGTCAGAAGGGACCATTCTGATCATTTAGTCTGACCTCCTGCACATCGCAGGCCACAGAATCTTACCCACCCACTCCTGTAATATAGACCCCTAATCTCTGACTGAGTTACTGAAGGCCTCAAATAATGGTTTAAAGACTTCAGATTACAGAGAATACACCATTTCCTCTAGTTTAAACCTGCAAGTGATCCGTGCCTCATGCTGCAGAAGGTGAAAAATTGCCAGGATCTGCCAATCTGACCTGGGGGAAAATTCCTTCCTAACCCCACATATGATGATCAGTTAGACCCTGAACATGTGGGCAAGACTCACCAGGGAGATACCTGGGAAAGAATTCTCTGTAGTAACTAAGAGCCCTCCACATGTAGTGTCCTGTCCCCAGCCATTGGGGATTTTTGCTATAGGCAGTCCCCGATGGGCCAGATGCCACTGTAGGCAGTCCTACATACCATCCCCTCCATAAATTTATCAAGCTCAGTCTTGAAGCCACTTAGGTTTTTTTGATCCCACTGCTCCAGAACTTCACTCTTCTAATGGTTATAAACTTTTGCCTAATTTCAAGCCTAAAGTTGTTCAAGCCAGTTTACATCCATTTGTTCTGGGGTCCACTGATCCTTAACTTAAATAACTCCTCTCCCTCCCTGGTATTTATCCCTCTGAAATATTTATATAGAGTAATCATATCTGCCCTCAGCCTTCTATTGGTTAGACTAAACAAGCCAAGCTCTTTGAGTCTCTTCTCATAAGGCAGGTTTTCCCTTCCTTGGATCATTCTAGTCGCCCATCTCTGCACCGGTTCCAGTTTGAATTCACCTTTCTTAAACATGGGAGACCAGAACTGGACACAGTATTCCAGATGAGGTCTCACCAGTGCCTTGCATAATGGTACTAACACTTCACTGTCTCTACTGGGAATACCTCACCTGATGCATCCTAGGACTGTGTTAGCCTTTTTCACAGCTGCAGAGGCAATGTCGGTGAGAGTCAGAAATGGTCAGATGCCGCTCCCCAGATGCCTTGGGGGAGGCAGGGCCAGTGCACCCAGCAGCCTGGGAGAGGAAGGGGCGGGGCCAGAGCCAGAAGGGAAGAGGTGGAGCCAGAGCCTCTCCTGGCCACGCTGCTTGGGATGCACTCTACCCGGTGCAGCACAGCAGCTGACTGGGAGAGTGCCTGGCTGTGGCAGCAGCAGGCTGCCCCTCCCCCCCACATCCCAGGCACAGCTTCTGGGGACAGTGGTCGAGTGAGCCGGAGCTCCCCAGCCCCTCCAGCATGCTCAGAGTCAGCTCCTGTCCCCAGAAATTGAGCCTGGGT